AACATTTATTGATTTAATAATTTTATTTTATAATTGAAATTTTTTTATTTAATAATTAATATAATATAATTTAATATAATTTAAATTATACTTTACTTTTTTTAATGCATTTATATAAATCTCTCTCGTCATCATCATAGGTCCTCGTTGTACTCATTCTTTATACGGTGCACTAATTCTCCATCTCCAAAATTTTTCTTTTATTAGGTCTTTTTACGAAGATTTTGTGTTCTTACCTAATTTTTTCTTAATTATGCTTCGTATTTAATTTTAATATATTTAACTTTTTTATTTAATAAAATAAAAATATAATAATTAAATTACAAAATTTTATATTTATTCATAATTTATCATTATTTAAATAAATTTTTTATTTAATATATGTTATAATTATTTTTAAAATAAAAATTTTAAAATAAATACAATAAATAATTTTTTTAAAAAATAAATAATTAAATGTAAAGACTTTAAATTTAAAATTAAGTCTTTTAAAATTGAATAAAGGGTGTATTATCTTTAAGTATTTTATTATTTTTAGGGAAATTCTATGTTAAACTTTTAAATTTATCTTAAATTTTTTTATTAAATTTCAAAACTTTTATCAAAACAAATAAATTTTTAAATTTAACTATCTAGCTAATTAAATCTCTCTTTTTTCAATGAATTTAATATTAATTTATATATTACTTGTGTAAATAAAATGTTAATATATCATTACTTATATAATATATTAATTTTATTTATATAAATAAAATATAAATAAGTATTCAGTTTATTATAAAAAATTAAATTATTTAAATTAATAAATTTAAAAAAAAATTTCTTTTTTTTGAACAAGTTTGACAAGAAACGGGTTCGAAATCCACCTATGAGAAAGAGAGGCATGCACCTTAACCTGATAAAGTGTCAATTGACTCGAAGCGTCAGCTGCAATTTAAAATTTTATTTATTTTAATAAAAATTTAAAAATTTAATTAAAAATTTATAATAAACTTAAGGATTTAACATAAAATTTTACTTAATTTTTATACATCAACCGTGACTAATGGCTTTTTGCTTGACTTAGACTTAAAAAAACGCGTCGGTGTGCACAACTCCATTTGACGAGGCTATCCTGGCCGCTGATTTGAAGTTTTAGGTTTTAGCGTTTACAATGTGGATTCCGAGAAACATCTTTACTCTGTCACATCACTGTTACTTTTTATGCATAAAAAAATAGCTTTTTGCTTGACTTGATTAAAAATTTTGAAAAATGTGACAATGTGTATGATTCCATTAGACGATCCTATCCTTGCCGTTGATATGAGGTTTATATTCCTTGCCTTTACCATGTGGATCAGTGGGTTCCGGGAAACATCTTCACCCTGTCACATCCCTACTTTTTATACATGAACTGTAACAAATAGCCTTTCACTTGACTCGACCAAAAATTTAAAAAAAAATGTTACTGTGTGTATGATTCCATTAGGCGAGCCTATCCTTGCCGTTGATATTTAAGTATTTACTCCTGGTCTTTACCATATGGATTTGTGGGTACCGGGAAACATTTTTACTCTCATACATTACTACTGTTTAATTTTTATGCATGAACCGTGACAAATAACTTTTCGCTTGACTTAACTGAAACGTAAAAAGAAAAATGTGACTGTATATGATTCCGTTAAACGAGCCTATCCTTGCCGTTGATATTAGGTTTTTACTCTAGTCTTTACCATATGGATATGTTAGTCCCGGGAAACATCTTTACTCTGTCACATTGCTACTTTTTATGTATGAATCGTGACAAAATAGCTTTCTCCTTGATCTGACTAAAATTTAAAAAATGTGACTATGTGTACGATTCCGTTAGACGACCCCATCCTTGCCGTTGATATTAGGTTTTTACTCTGGTCTTTACCATGTGGATCAGTGAGTATCAGGTATTGGAAATTTTGTGTTTATCTCTTTGAGACTGGACCGTGACAAATTCTCTCACAACAGCGTAATCTTTTCGAGCCCCTTTTCTCACGTATCGAATTCGTTTCAGTGGGTCCGCGAGATGTTTGCTGCAGATTTTCTGTCTTCTGCCTCGTTGATTGAGGAACTTCAACTCAAATCAACTTCAAAGTTCAAACCCATCAAAAAAATAAAATAAAATTATTTCTTCTAATTTTTAATAATAAATGTATTTTATTTTTATTTATATATTACTTTTAAAAAATTGAAAATAATAAAATAAGTAATTAAAATTAAAAATAATAATTAAAATATTTAATTTTTAAAATATAAAAAATTATTATTATTATGAGATAAGTTTTAAATTAAAAAACATTTATTAATTTAGAATTGAGGATAAAAAGAAAACTTCATACTTTCCGGAGTTTAATTTTTAAAAATTTTAAATTATCCTTTTTTTTACCATTTTTTTCCCCTGATTCTCAGTTTAGATTTAGGAGAATGATACTTCATTATTTCAGGTGGTACTAGGAGATTTTTAATGATAATTAGGTAAATTCACCTTATCATTTTTGTTTTTTGTCTACATTTTTTCATTTGGCTAATTATTTTTCAGATTTTTTTTTTTTCTGATTTTCGTTGATCAATTTAGTATTTCTGCGTTCCCCCTATCATTTTTTTTGGCAGTTATTTTACTTTTATTTTTTTGTTCCCCATTTGTGAGTCAGTTTAATTGAGTTTAATTTTAGGGTCGGATTGGTGTAACTTCTCAAGTATTTCAATTTTTTTATATTATTTATGTTTTATAAATTTAAATTTT